CCACCAATAGGTACAAGACGTCACCTACTCCCACCTGCGACACTATAGTATATAAGTAACTAGCTGTACCGTACTACTCGACCTTCGGTCGTACGAAACAGATATATATATATATATATATATATATATATATATATATATGTATGTATGTATGTATATATACACATACACACGTTTTCATACTGAAATAGATATTTATAATTAATCAAGTACAAGATAAAGCCTAAGCACTTTATTTAATGTCTTAATAGAGTACACAACGAACATATATGGACAAGCCATTATTAAATTATATATACATAATGTTACACAGCTTTTATAATGCAAATTAATGTTAAAAAACTATATACTGACCTAAGTAATTAGCTCTTAAACCCTCTTTATCATGCAACTCATAGTATAATTTTAATTTGTTTATATTTATTGTAAATTATAGCAAGTGCAAAAATATCTTTCTGGTTTCAAACACTGATTGTCTGCATTTGAAATATGATTGTGTTATCATAATGAAGTGCCCTTACAAGAACTGTATGATAATATTTTTATTAAATATAAGTTCATGCTTATAATTCACACTGAAAGTCCCTCTGTTTAAGTATGGTGTGTGAAAGCTTATCGTTGCACACAAACTGTACAGTATTAAAGTAGTAAAAAAAGCAACTGAAATCAATACTTTAAAGATTGTATTTTGTAAAACAAGGATTTCTAAATGCCATTACAAGGTTTAATAATTAGTTTTTTTTAAATAACTATCATGAAGATGTGAATATATTTACATAATTAAATCACAATTGTCAATCATGCCTAAAGCAGCAAAATATGTAGAAATAAATTAAATGCACAGATAAGGATATAATCAACTTGAAAACAAAATTTGACTATGTATATAAAATTTAAAGCTAATATACCTCTTATCATTACCGAAAATTAAAAGACAAAAGAAAAAGGTATTCACCACGATATCTTGTCTAGTATAAATTCATATACAGCAACAGTTATCACTCACACTGGATTTATTGAAAAAAGCTAACACAGGGAATCAACTGAAATAAGACTACTTTAAATATAAAAAAAAAATCATCAATCCACTAATTTTAATTGACAACAGTCATTCACTTAAGTTTATAAACAACAATTCATTATACAACCTAACTTTAGAATAGTATTTACAATTTAGTGCTTTAAAAATTTGCATATTCTAAACTAGTTGGTTATAATCATGTCTGGTATTTTTATTATTGTTTATAATATGATTGACAAACATAATCCAACTGAACTCTAAATGGATAAGTAATTTGATATAAATATTACAAACAAGAAATAAAGAAATACAATAATTACCCTTAGAGTCAAACTGGTGTTTAATTCCTTTCTATTCCACTAGTTAATCCAGATAAGGTATTAATGATATTAAATATATTTGCCTAACAATTACTCAATTAAATTATGTCATGTTTCATAAATTTGGGAAAATTTTAATTAATATTTAAATGTATCTAGCAAACTATTATGCAAATCCCCTTTAAGCCTAAAATTGTAAGCTATAACACTTAACTTTGAACAAAGAAATTTAACTAATATCTGATACCAATAGTAGACGGTATTATCACTTGATGATCCTACTAGCAGACGCAATAGTATAATAGCATTAGCGTTAAAGTTAGCTAAGTCATAATTTAACGTTCATTAAGAATCTGCTAACTAGTAGTAGTCCTCCTAGGAATATTATAGTACGAGTATGAATACAATGTACTATTATTTATTCTAAACTTATCCAGTTGCTATGTTGTTTCACTTTCAGTTTATTATTTAGTCTTTGTCCGTGACTAAAAAATGTTAACTTTGTAAAGCGAATAAGTTTACGTTTCTCAACCTTAGTCATAAAAATTACTTGTAAGTTGTATGTAAGCTGTGGACATATGTCCAAAATCATGCATAGGATGTACTACTAACTTAAGGTTCCAGAAAACAAAACCGTGTTGCCTGATTTAGTAATTATAACAGGTAAAAATATACCCGCCGATCGTCCCTTCAGTCTTAGCGAGATGGGACGCAAGGTATGGGAATAGGACGTTCAGTGAGAGAGAGCCAGCTAGCCGAACATAACTCACGTCGTCATTCCATCATGAAATGATAACGTATATAGTTTACGCCTATATATCTCAAATTTACATATAGTTGATAAAAAAAACATGAATGATTTTAATTTTAAAACAAAATGTCCACGCCAACAAAATCTATTTTATATTTGCAACAGTATCTTACCTAAGAAAAAGGCTATAATGTTAAGCCTAACCGGACACCTCCACAAGTGTACAAGCTCACTCTCCCGATGCACATATGATATAAGAATAGAGCATTTGATTTTCTTTCCCGTGAAGCAGACGATATCGTAGACCAATGCTCTGCGCATGTCTCACTGACGACAATCATCTGGCGCCACCAACTAATTTAAGTTTTCAACTCTTTTGCTATAATGACACAAAATTTTGGCCTGAGGGCTGGTATTAAATCTTTATGCAGAAAATTCATAATTATTTGAATATTTGATATGGATCTAGAAAATAAACTAATAAAACACTTATTTGAAAATCCTGCATGATAAATCTGAGATGAGAATTTTGGATTGACTTTAGATCACCAATGTGTGTACAGAATGCGTAAGTTTGACGAATTAATCTTTAAGGCTTTAAGCTATGCAGTGACTTAGTTTTTATGCGTTAAGTTTTTCACTTTTTGGTTATAATTATGGGTATTTTGACGATAAATCAATAAAAGAATAAGTTGATCTACATTTATCGTACACACTCTAACATCATCCGATGATTTTATTATCCCGAAACTAAAGAAATTTAGTTTTAATTTTTCATATTATAAACTATTCTAAATGTTATCGCAGGCAGTGAAATCTAATTTTTGAGGCAATATATATTTGTTATTTTTCTATTGTTTAGAATATATTTTGAATACTGAATGAAAAAGTTTAACGTATAAATTACTTTAGCTTCAAAACAGGCTGTAATATATGCTAAGCTTTGATTTAAGTTATTAAGCTGTGTCCACCACGAGTATTGAAACCCGGTCTTTATCGGTATAAACCTTTGATCTTACCGCTGAGTCAGGGGGGGGGCAAATAATTTACTCAGTTATTCGGCTACAAATGAAGTTTAGGGAATTAGAAGATTTGTTCGATTGATACAAACATAGAATTTTATATTTTTCCAAACAAAGTTCACGTTTTCTATGTAAGAAACAAATTGGTTCAGTCTTGTCTTTCTCTGTTGTACTAAGTCTACTTAAGAGCACTGATGAAAGGATTTGTTTTGTTTACATCTGACCGTTCGTCTATGATTTCTTTTCGTTAAGTAATAGTAATTAAAGAGGTCAATATTCGCAGGCGAATGCAATATGTCTCCTCCTCAATCCTGGCCCGTCATGGCCAGGTGGTTAGGGCACTCGACTCGCAATCTGTGGGTCGCGAGTTCGAATTCCCGTCCCACCAAACATGCTCGCCCTTTCAGCCGTGGGGGCGTTATGATGTGACGGTCAATCCCACTATTCGTTGGTAAAAGAGTAGCCAAATAGTTATCGGGGGGTGGTGATGACTAGCTGCATTCCCTCTAGTCTTACACTGCAAAATTAGGGACGGCTAGCGCAGATAGCCCTCGTGTAGCTTTGCTCGAAATTCAAAACAAACAAACAATCCTCCGCAATCCCAACATGACCAATTTTCGCACCAGAAAAATCGAAAACTGTCTATATCTCTGTTTGGGATCTGTAAAAAAGTGTATTTGTACCAAATCCCATGTAAATTGATCAAAATAAGGCAGAGTAATTGACAAAAACTCAAAAATTATGGTTTTGTGTGTGTTCCCCCCCCCCCACACACACACAAAAAGACTCAAAATGGGCAAATCCAACTTCTTTTTTTTTTGTCAGTGTGTTTGGCGCATGAAAATTTTTATTTATGCCGATTTTTTATATTGATTGCCGTAAAATACAATCGCACAGGAGCTCAAAATATACATTTTGGGGTTTTTAGACCTTTGACCCCATAAAATTCTTTAAAAGGCCTAAATAAAAAATATTAAAAAGGCATCTGGGCGTACTGGACAAAGTTTCAAGTCAATCCGTCGAGAAATGAAGGAATGGCGGTCGTTGGAAAAGTGTTTAGTTTGAATTTCGCGCAAAGCTACACGAGGGCTATCTGCGCTAGCCGTCTCTAATTTAGCAGTTAAAGACTAGAGGGAAGAAAGTTAGTTATCACCACCCACCGCCAACTCTTGTGGAACTGTTTTACCAACGAATAGTAGAATTGACCGTCACATTATAACTCCTTCACGGCTAAAAGACCGAGCATGTTTGGTAAAACGGGGATTCGAGCCCGCGACCCGCAGATTGCAAGTCGAGAGCTCTAACCACCTGGCCATGTTTGGAAGTAGAAAAAAAAGGAAGAAAGAAGAAGAAAAAACAGAAAACAATATATCTCGCTAGGGAGAAATAATGATGATTTCATCAAATATGAAAAGATAATAAATAAAGATCAGGACCGCTTGAAATTAATAGGATGCTTAAAGTCGAAAGTCAGGAACAGAAAAAAAAAATTAATAATTATATACAAAAGCAGAAAACGCAGCTGAGTTCATTGTCAATTTTATGCGAATGCTTCGTTACACAAGCTTTGTTTGTTTGTTTTGAAATTTCGCGCAAAGCTACACGAGGGCTATCTGC